AATTTTGATTTTATATTTAAGTCTCATTGGTTCTTTTGCCCTTACATGAATATTTTCTTTTTCACAGCCTGAAGAAATGACTTTTGCTAATATTTTGTTGCCTTTTTCTTTTCACCAGAGCATAAATGACATTTTTTCACCTGTTTCATTGACAGCTCTACCTGTTCTAACACAGATGTAAGTTTGATTCACAGAATAAACATGCATGTTGATATTAGCTAAGTAGAAGTGTAAATCACAATTAAAATAATTAACAGGAAAGAATATGAAAGCACTTCCAAAATTTTGGTGCAAGCTTTTAACAGCTGCTAACAAGAGAAGAAAATACAAACCCGGTGCAATCACTCCATGTCAAACACACCGACACCTGGCTTCAAATCTCACGTGCTGCACATCGGAGCATTTTGTTTAAAGCCAACAAAGCATAAAGAGCGCTGACAGAGAGAGGGGTATCCTGCATTACAGGCCATTTGCCACACCAGCCTCAAGAAATGTATTTACTTAAAAAATACATTGTACTTATCTTTGAAGACCGAATTTGAAGTAATCATTCTTGCATAGATTGTTTCACTCAAAATACTTCCATTTTCTTGTGCAAATTCATGGCATTACCTGCACAAGTTCAGCGGCTACATTCAACCTCAGATGGACAGGCAATTCCTGAAGGGCCTGGACCAAAGACTGGCAGTCAACAGAAAGTGCAGCTAACTGGAATACAATTCAACACACAGTATGCCTGTATTAAAAACCAACCAACCAAAAACCTAGTAATGACTTTAATCTATTACATTCCCCTGTTCCACACATTCAAGGAATGTGAAGAACAATCTAATGAAATACAGGGATCCATAGTTTTAAATTACCCATGTACACAGCAGTTTGGCTTAATTACCTTATAAATACCCACAATGCAAATAATCACTTAAAGCTTTAAAAACAAGGTATAAATGGAATCCTCCTTAGGCAATGCCTTGAAAATCCAAAGTAGGAAGTAGTTCTGCAACTTGATAATGTCATAAAAGGCTTTTCCAATTCAAACATCTTTTAATCTCTGAAGCTTTCTATGCACTGGGAATCACGGGAATCACCATTTAATGAGTCACTATTTTCTAAGCAATTAAAGCATGTAGCTCTACCTGTTTTAGTGCCTAAACAACACAGCTCTCCTTATACTTCCCCATCTTCTAAAATGTTGTTTCGATGCTTACAAAAGCAACAAACTATAGCTACACTTCTAAGGTGATACTCAAGAAAGATACTCTACTGCAACTGCTTAAAAGGTAGAACAGTCACTTATTAACATGGCAGGTATTGAAGTTTTCTCCTGACCCCCTTTTTTTTTTTTTGCCTGTAAACTATTAAAAAACAAATTTGAACAAAACAAACCAGTAATATTTGATATTTTTACAAAACACCCTGGACTTCAGTAGACTTAAACACATTTCAAGCTCACAGTACAGTAGAACATTCTGAGCACATTCACCATTGATGAAAAAGACGAGATACCCATCACATATTTTAAAACCTGACAACGAAATGCTTAAGATCAGTCTATTCTCTCATTTTCATGGAAGCAGAGAAGCTGCTTCTAAATCTCCTTAAAGAGGCAAAAATGTGTCCCTCAATATGGTACAGACTAACACAGACATTTAGAAGTCCAAATACTCATAGATTAGGACAGAGTGCTTTGTGCCATATTGTAAGAGATTTGTCAAAGGAATTCACACTGCTCCCAAAAGCCAATCAACAGGATGGCTTCTGACACCTGCACACACAGCGAGAATGAGCATTAAAGACACAGTGTGTTCCGACAGCATATTTACAAAATTAAAATAAGTTTTAAAAAAGAAACAATGCAGTTGGTTTAACAGTTCCTTGTATCCAAGCTAAGTACACTTGGAAAAAGATTAATGTGAAGGAATATTGCAAATAAAGGTGAAAATGGAGACATGGAAGAGGAGGAAAGGCTGAGGATGAAGGAAAAGAATTTGGAGAAATAACATAATGGAAGAAGGAATTCAATATCCAGGTAGAGATTTCACTAAAAGTGGTATTTGAATAAAACCCAAAGGGATCAAAGCACAGTATTTAATAAATTATAAACAATTCATGGCACATGTAGTTATTTGTTCAAGAAAATAAGTAGAGGCACACTTTGTTGCTGGAATTGCCATTTTTTACTGAAAAATCCAAGTTTTATTACCTGTTTGATTTTTAAATTACAGACCATGTTCGGGAAAAGTTTTATTGCATTTTATCAATAAACAATAAAGGAAATCCAGATCTACTTTTTGTAATAATGAATGATATTCTTAACAAATTGAAAATTCGTTATTGTTGATGTCACTGTTACATTTCCATTCCACATTTGAAACTGATGCTTTGCCATTGCTTTCTACAAATAACAGGGAATGGGAAATATCTAGTCATTCTGCAACTGTATTTATGCCTTTTCTGCTTTATTTTATTGCATTGTGATCATTTCACTTCACTTTACAACTCTCTAATCTTGTACATAATGTATAGGGAGGCAAACAACCAGGAACAGGTGAGTGAAGAAGCAAGGAATTTGGCAAAGTGGATCTAGGATGAAAATTAGACCTGGATCCAGCTTTCAGGGAAAAGAAAGATGGGCCAGAAACAAAAAGGAGGGAACAGGCTGAAGACCAGAGACAATGTGAAAAATTAGATAATGCTATGAAACCATCTGGGCCAGGATTCTGGACTAAAATAAGAAATCAAAGGAAGGGTAATGGTGACTAGTGCAGTAAACTATTTCAAACTGATATAAGAATAGCAAAAGACAGGAAATGGTTTGAGACAACGAACGGGGATGGAGTGGGACAAACACCTACAGCTGGGTAGGAACAGAGGCAGAGGAACGTGCCCACCACAGCACACCTCACGATGAGCGAGAGCGTGGGATCAATGCCACAACTGTGCAGCCGCATCACTGGCAGCCAGAAGAATATCGCTTTCTAGGGAATAATTATTGTTGATATTTTAGGAAATAAATAGCAAACTTTTAAAATTTCAATACATAGGTATGTTTCAAGAAACACTCAAGCACAGTTTCACAGCAATTTTAAGAAAAGCTTGGAAGACAAAAGCATTTACCTTGCAATAATTTAGGGGACTTCCATGAGGAAAACAGCTGCAGAGATTAAAACAATTCCCTGTATCCTGATACAGAAAACAGCAGGCTCGTATTGCTTTGCCCCTTTTTATTCAAGCATAAAGAATCCACACACAAATGATATACAAGCTAGTTGCTCCCATAGTCATTTTGAAGGTGAAGTTTCAGCCAGAGGATACGAATTGTTAATCAGAAAGAACTAGAACAAGCTCCATAGTCAACAATACGAATATACTCCCACAGGTTTTGTTACTAAACTATTTTCTCTTGAACACAGCTGAAAAAGGAAGGCTGACTTGGTATGTCAGTAAAGCAAAGTGACAGTCCCTTATTTTCCCTTCACTGGATGGATTTGCTTGTTCTTTTCTTCCAACGTTACTTAAAACCCTAGCCTGCTGCTTTGATTAGTCTTGAACAGAAAAAAAAAAAAGACACAAGAGCCTCCAGCATTAGAGACAAATTAATAAAAAAATATACAGACTAAAGAGTGCTATTATTGTATTAAACCATTTGTGGCTGAAAGCACAACTGCCTACATATTCTGTGCCAGGCGATTATCCATACAAACTCATTTGAATGATAATTGTTACCTGCTTATGGCATATGCTTTCTCTATCCCATTCCTTCTCATCAGCAAATCGGAACTGTGTAAAGGAATCTCCTACAGAAAAGAAATAAAAAATATATATTTTTTAAAACAAATAACAAGCTCTCCAAATTTCTCAACCCTACAGAAGTAAAATCAATCAATAAACGTCACATCTTCAACAAATTTGCATTTAATTTTAATGCTGCTTGAATTCATAGTATTAAACTTCTTTAAGCCAAAGTTCTATACAAAGATCTTTTAATCTTTTATTTGCAAAACAGTACTGAAAAGCGCACAACGGATTCAAAAGTGAACGAGGAGGTGCCAGGTCAACAAGCAAGATTTTCACTGAAAAGCCCAATTTGGACAACATACTAGGGATACGCACAGTTTTCACAGGGTGCATTTCTTATGAACAGCTTTGAATGTGCTGGAGACAGCTCTTCTCTTATCAACAGGCATCTCTTAAAATTGATTATAAATGTCCTAAAAATCAGACTGTACAGGCCAAGTAAAGACTTCTTGTTGTCTGGCAGGTAAAATCTCCAGATTCTCCCTTCCTTGAATGAGTCCCTACTCCAGCACATCATCAAAAACAGGCACTGAACCCTGACCTCCAATTCATATGCATAAGGGACTGAATTAAAAGAAACCTTAAGGCTAATTAAGCTACATATGTGATCTTAGTTATAGGATCTTCTAACCTCCTACCACATTCCTCGAGGACAGTAGGAAATTCCTCTTCCTACAGGGGCACTTGGGTTATTATTTTGTTTTAGAGGTGATATTTCTACTGCAGTACCATGCTGGGTTGTGAAAGACAATCCTATAAGTTTATTCACTGAAAAAACCCAGAAGAATTCCAGGAACTCAAAAAAATTAGTAAGGTCTGTGACAGAGGAAACAGAGATGATGGCCAAAGGTCTAGAGTGACAGAAAACAAAGATGTTGCTGATGCAGAGTATGGGACATACCCCACCTCAGGCCATGCTGTCCGAGAACAAACAGCTGTTTCAGGAGCTCTATTCGGAAAAAAAAAAAAAACAACACACAGTTGAATTGTTGCATGAATGAGGTGAAATTTGATCCCAAGAATTGCAGGTCACCTATAAGTCATTCGGATTTAGTCCAGCAGTTAATCAAGAAGCAATAGCTTGTTCTTTCCCAACCTCTAATACAGAATGTATGCACTAGAGGAAGTTTCCAATGGCATTACCAACAACTGAGCATCTAATTTCTATTAGGCTCTCAATACCCTAACTGCCGTTCATACCTTTGACAATTCCCGAGTCATGCCCTTACTCCTGCATACAAAAGCTGAAGATATAATGTGCTGTCCCCAAAACTGGCTTCTTTTCCACTGTCTGCCTGTCCCAAAACGTAAGGGAGTTCAGCCTTTCAGCAATTTTACTCAATAGTGCAACCATCAGGAAGCTTGTTTTGCAAACAGAATGAATAAGCAGCAAAATGGCATACTAATTGGCATATTTCTTTGCCAAACAATAAAAAAAGGGAGACCTAACCATCCCCTAGCTGAATAGAGTCCTGGTTTGAGCTAGAACAGAACTAATTCTTTTCAGTGATTTTACTTTTCAGCTAAGTCTCTAAGTGACTGCACTTTCTGAAAATCAACAGCATGTTTTTTCCAGACAGTGTCTGCATCTAGCAGTGATGGCACTTGGTGTTTATAGTTACTGCCATGGAACAGTATGCAGAAAGGCTCTCGCTTATACCTGCCTCCACAGAAAGCAAGGTCACTGCAACACTTTGTGCCCCCTGTTGAAGCACTGTAAAGTAAAAGGGTCATAATGAAGTAAAAAGGTCACACCTGCGGGGAGGAGTGAGCCAGACAGATGACCCACACCTGACCACAGAGTATTCCACCTCATATACATCCTATTCAGTATAAAGCTGAGGGATCACAAGGGTTAAGCCTTCTTCTGCAATGGCCAACATCTGAGGAGGATTCCCTCAGTTCTTCTGTCTTCGACCTGATCCATGTGTGGCTGAATCCAGTTCCGGAATTCAGCTCCTGAGTCCAGTTCCCATCTGCTGCCAAGTCCAGCCTGGCACTGCCCCAGTGCCAGCCCTGCAGCGTCAGTGATGACATAGCCGCCTCAGGGGGGCTAGGTTGAGTATTGGTTTCATGTATATTTGTACATAATTTATTATTTTCTTATTGGGATTATTATATTTTCTTTTTATTGTTGCTGTTTCAGTTTTATTTCCAAACTCGTAATCTCTCCCTTTCTCTCTCTCTCTCTTCCCCTTCTGGGGAGGGAGAGGGGTTAATAGAGAGCATCTGCCGTTAGTGGCCAGCCCAGATCTAACCCATGACAAATGTAAACTTTAGATATTAAAAATAAAGCCATGGCCAATAAAGTGCATTTCTAATTCATTCATTCCATGTACACTCATTGGGTATGCAATTTACTCACATACTAACCACACTGTGTACCCAGCATGTCCATCATTGTCATCTTCAAAACCATTCCAGCAAGCAAGTAACCTGCTTGGCTGAGTATTTATATAGATATTTATGACCATTACCACGTACAGCTGGAATCTGCACCTCCCTCTTTTCATTAGGTTTATCCAACATTGTTCAGCATTACTAGGCCAACATACAACCCTGCCTGATCAGCCAGGCTTTGGTTTACATTCAATGCCTCCAGATACTACTATTTTGAAAACAACCACTGTCAAACAGTACAAGTGTATATAATTAAAAATAAGCACTGAAATTAACATTTAGATATCTAAGAAGTCATCTAATTTTATAAATGTTCAGTTCATGTAATTCACCGGGTTCCATGATGACTAGGTATGCTCAGCAGTATGGAAGAATAAGATCCTGTCTTTATGTATCTATCTGCAGATGCAAACACTTAACTTGGGCACTCCAGTTGACTCACTGCTGACAAAGGTGCTTTTCTCTTCACTGCACACAGAGCAAGAGTAAGTAAGTCCCTCTGTTTCCAAATGTCTAGAATACCGCTAATATTAAGTAATAACTAATGCTGAAAAGTAAAGAAATCCAAATTCATTCTTCAGACTAATGAATTTAAAATGGGTACAAAAATGTGCAAATTAATTTACACTGCTTCAACAGCTCATATTTTAAAGGCTCAAATTAGTTACATATATAAAGAAGTGTTATTGAAAAATAATTTAACCAAGTGATCCTCAAAGACTTCATACTATTAGAACAAAGGCATAAGCTTTCTCTTCCAATATTCCCAAAACTCCATCAGTTACTTCTCATGCTGGGTCACAGAGGAAATAAAGAATTTCCTCTGCTCTTATAAAGGACTAGTTGAACACTTTCAGTATCTTAGAGTGACCAGATGTAAAGCTGCTAAACACACCTACTTCATCAGGAAAATCCACTGGGATCAAGAACTGGTTTATGATTCTCCAGACTCCCAAGTCGGTAATAACAGAACCTCAGTTTGATATTGTATTGCTGAATTAAACAGTATGACTTAAACTGCAGTTTAACTAGGCTCTTTAAATAAGTTAACAAAGCATCAATTTCAAATGGAAAAGCAATAGCTACAATTCACAGCAGCACACTTAATGCACATTAGGTTAATGAGAATGTTGGTCTAACCAATTATCTTTTCACAAATTCCTTTACCCTGAAAATAACTTCCTTTTATGCCATGAATACTAATCAAACATCTTGCAATGACTCCAAGTTCCTTCCAACATAAAAAAAAATAACAAACCACTTTTCTTCATGTGAATAGTTTTTATATGACTTACAAATATCACTTGGCCTTCAAATATAGAGCAGCTAAAAATAACGCATTCAAGTGAACCTCACACACCGACTTTGGTAACATTCATAATAAGCCTTAATATTATTTATTGTATAAAATGTAACTTTATTATGAAAGAACAGCAGAACTAAACCACCATGCTTTCCTACCACTTGAACACATTTTCAAGCTAAATCAATTGACTTAAATAGAACACACGTTTCCTAGTCTCATTAGCCCCATTATCTCTTCATACAAATATTCATTGGATAGCAGAATCAAACAACTCCTACCTGTAATCTGTAATAAATATTTTTCCAATCTGTGAAACTGTATGAGGCTAAAAGCTGAAAAAATTGAAGAAAAACAGTTTTCAGTAGGAAAACTGACACATCAGTGGAACAATTTTGCTCATTTTAACTAATTAATTAAAAAAAAAAAAAAATATGTAAAACATTACTGAAGACACAGAGGGAAAATATTCTCCAAGTCTTAGACACTTTCACATTGGAGCGGGGGAATAAACAAACAATGTAACAGGATCCTTCTAAGAGTGCCATGACTATAAAGAAGCACTGCAAGGGCAATATAAGACTCTAAATCCATTTTTTAAACCAGAATTTACCTTTTCCTAAAAAAGCACCAATTATTTTGATAAACTTACTTGGGGTTTTCCAACCTTTGTCATCTCACATTTATTTTATTTTGGGATGCAAGCCTCTGTCTACAAGTCTGTTTAGTCACCTCAGTAATGCGTGATAAATTTATGATGGCAGTACGGAGCTGAACCAAACAAACCACAACAGGAAACTATGACTTTGCTACATTTGGGACGTTAACAGTGACACCAAAAATATCTCAAAAAGCACCCTCTACCTACTACACTAGTCAAAGTTCTTCCCGAGTTACTAAATTGAGAAGATTCTCTCCAAAAATAGTCCATCTTTAGAATAGATTTTAAGCAACTTTGCAAATTTAACTTGTAAGAGATCCCTTTCTCTCTACATTGATCCCCAGTTCACCACTATTTATGAAGGATAGCATAGCTACCTGTCTGTTCCACCAGTCATCTTCATAGACTGCAATAATGCACGAGGAAACAAATATTATTTTTAAGGTGAAAAAAAAGAATCAGATCCTCCAATCTAACACTTTTCCGCAGGAAAAAACAATCTGAATTGCAGAGTTTAGGCATGAATGATGCTCGAAATCTTACCCAACATCAACAGTTCATACAAGACTGACCAGCTCTCTTGAGGAGCTGGGGTGAAGCAACATATTCTTTCCCTTTTAATAGTGCAAGATTTCATGCAGAAGGTCCAAGACAGAAATCTATAGATCAATGAAAAGGTGAGCTAACTTATGAGCACAAAGAGAAGACTAAAGTTTACTAGTCTTTTGGGACGAATTAGGTGCGAGTGAGCCTTTCTCAAACTGGAGGGAAAGGCATGAGAAAGAACTCCCATCCATCCATGCCATGGCTTGCTTTAACCAGATTTTTAAAACAGTATAGAAAGAGAAAGAACCACAGCCTAGGTGCTTTGGAACATCATCAGACTGAAAGGATGTGTTTTCTCCTTACGCAGTATTTCCACATAGTGCGATTTTTTATATATATAGAGAATATATATATAATTATTTTATATATATTAATTGCCCATCTACAATTAATGCTCATTTTATGTAAAAGTCTCTTTGAATAAATACTAATGAAGACTTCCTTTTATAGAACATCGAATGGTTTTCCTCTTTTTCTCCTAGAAAAGGAGACTTACATATATACAAACTCATAACAAATACTCTTCCAACACTGAAATGTATGTTCTGCAAAGGTTTTATGTGAATAATCTTATACAGATCATAAACAGATAATCATCCAGATATGGTAATTTTCCCACAATGAGGTATCATAAAATACTGAGAAACAGACTTCTGGAAGACACAAAGATTCCAAAGACACTTACCTCATGGCAGTTCTAACAACATCACTAATTTCTATTTCTGCATTTTTAATTTCGCTGCTTTGGTAGAGTACGCACTATTATCATTTACTATGACTAAGGCTGCAACGTGCTACTTATGTAATTTGCCGTAAGCATAGTTTGAGTAATAGCAATTTTCACAATGTGAGAATACAAAACCAACAGATAAAGTCCTTGTAAGAACTCAACATCTGTAAGTTTTCTTCATATACTATTAAGATCAGTAGTATTGCAAGTCAGTGCGAAGACTGTCTTTTATCAAGAACACGACTGGTTATTTCCAAACCACATGCCCTCACCACAAATCCTTTAGCACAACCTACATTTGTCCCTGGTTCTGCTGCTCACCAGTAGGTTGCATAGCCATGTATTACAAACTGCAGAAGTCTTATGCAACAGCTCAGCATAAAAATTCTAACTACGAGCAGAATACATTTCTCAAAGAAAATATTTTAAATAACATTATTTTACTGTTATTAGTAGAAATCCTTGAGCTCTGTGCAAACATGCTGATATTAAGAATATTTGTAGCCTGCACTTCAAACTATAAAGTGCATTTGTAACCAGATTCAAAAAGAACAATATTTAAATTAATTCCCTGGCACAACTACACAGTACTAGTACTAGTCACAATTTAAAAAAGAAATATGTGAATTTGACCAAATGGATCATCTGATCAAGGCTAAACGATGTCCTTGAAATTTAAAATGTCTCACAGATAAAGGAGTAAGAAAGAAGGATCATCAGAAACTAGTGCTGCTTCTGGAACAAGGAGTGTCTCTTCAGGAACAGCAGAACTAATTTAACATATAGAGGAACTGCAGCCTATTGAAATCAAGGTCAGATGCTAGTTTTTTCAAATAAAGAGCAGAGTGAAGCCAACAAATGCCAGACACCACAATGCTTTTAAAACAAAACAAACCAAAACAATCTCTTTTTTTTTATTAAAAGCTAAAGCAGAGGTTAACAAGAGTCAAAACAGGAAAATGGAACAAACAAAATTATATTCGAAGAGGTTCAGTAAAAGAGTAGTACCCATGCTTCTGCATGAAGGTGACCAAGGTGACTAAGAAATAAGACAGAAGAAACCAGAATGCCTTTAAGCCTTTAATGCTTCAAAAAGCTGAATAACAACATGGAATACTGGGAGCCATGAAAGGAAGACTGCAGAGGACAGTGCAATCCCAGCACAATGCATGATGGACAAATTAGTAGAAACTACAAGAAATGTAATGGATATGTGTATAAATATAATATTTGTGGGAAGAGTCAACATGGCATTTGAAAAGGAAAGTTCTGCTGCATGATCAAAGACAATTTCTTGGTAGAAGCAAAAAAGTCATGCACATAAGCACGATCTAGTTCATATAATTTACATGTATTTCCAAAAGCTCTCACTGATGTCTCACTCCTTTTCCCAGCCAAGACTTCAGAGCAGCCAAAGAGGAGGCTTCGTATGAATAAATAATTGCCTAAAAGTAGGAAGAAAGAGTAAATTGTCAATTTTCACATTAAAAGAAACCACCAGTACAGTTCTCTGGGGTTGTATCTGTTTAACCTCTTCACTCAATTAAAACAGAAGAGAAAAAAAGATGAGAAAAATGAAGTAACAAAGTTTGCTGATGATACTAAGCTTCTCACAGTAGTGCAGAAGAAGGTAGGCTGTGAAGAATGACACAAGAACTTCACAAGATTGAGAAAGTAGATTCTTAAATGGCAGATGAATGCAAACTGCTGCAATTCTAACTTCACATACAAAATAAGTTGAGCTGACCAACACCACCGAATCTCAGTGCACCAC